GCGGTTCCCGCGCCCTGCGCTCCGGCTGCGTCGGGCCGGCCTGGCGTGTCCGCGTGCCGCGGGCTTCGGAACCTCCGTCCTGCTTGCCCTGCAGGGAGCAGAAGCCCTTGGCTGGCTACGGTTCCCTGCGCGTCCCACCGGGCGGGGGGCCGTGGGGCGATGGAGGCTGCTTATCTTGGTGATGCTGCGGAGCCCACCGGCTCCCGGCTCGTGCGAGCGGTGAGCGGTGACAAGGACAGAGTGGCCGAGCCTGCCAAAGTGTGAGGGATGCTCAAATACACATTGAAACGCCCTTGCCAAAGCATGGGCTTAAAGTCAGTGAGTAGAAGGATAGCAGGAAAGTGAGCAAGCCCCATCACCCTTGTGGTGTACTGTACAACACGACTAAGTCAGGCAAAAAAATCCCCTCTGTATTTCTTCCTTCCACGGCACCATTAGCATGATGAGAAGTCATGCCCATACAGATCAATTTTACAATGCCATAGATGTTTTTAACTGTAGAAGCACTTGGGCTTCTCTTGCATGTTTTCCTTGGCAAAAGGCAACATGCAGGGAGTTATTAATGAAATAAGCTGAAGCCCCTCAGGCTCATGGGCACAGGCAAGAAACACAGTGGTGCGTGTGCTCTGCAGCATCCTCAAACTTTTTTGTCGTAGCTTGGAGAGGCGCTTTTTGACAGTGCTCCCTATTTGGAGCCCTGCGTTTCCCATCTGCTCTGCAGCAGTTTGACAGCTGTCTCACGAAGGCAGCGGTGTCAGGAGTCCTGAGACACCTTGCTGGCATCCTCTGGTTTGCGCTGTGCTGTTTTATTCTTCCTGACCCCTGTTGTGAGCTCTTTCACTCTGCATAAAAGAGAAGCAATTTCCTTGCAGGCAAGCTTAAATTATAGTTAAGCGTGTACTTGTTTTGCTAGATTAAATACGTGCTCTTTCGGGGCAGATTTGAGGCTGTTTTGGAGCGGTAGGAGAACAGGGTCCAATTCTTCCCGGATCTGGCAAGTTTTCGTGCCCTGATTGCTCTACTCGCGTGTCTCAAACGTGATGTTGTGTAACGCTAAGCAGAGCAGGAGCAAGCGCAGCCCGCACGTGTGGCGCTGTGACCACCGCCTCCTCAAGAGCCTCCCGGGCTGCAAGGGAGGACTCCAGCGAGCAGCACAGGAGCCCCCAGCACAAGAGCTCCCCCTCCACCAGCGAGTGCCTAGCAGAGCAGAGGAGGGTTCCCAGAAGGAGGCAAAGGCTTTGCTAAAACTTGCTGGGAATAGGTGTGCGCCCCTGTGCTGCTCGGCCTGCCCGCCGTAGCGGTCACGTGTGGCGGCAGGGAGGGCGCGATGAGGCGGGTGCTGGTCGGGCCAAGGCAGTGGGCGGTGAAGGACAGCGTGTGCGGCTCACCAGCCATGCCCAGGGAGGAGAGCAGGCTGTGGAAAAGCCTTTCAGAAAAGGCACCAAGACCTTCACCTAGTTTTACCTCACCGCAGCACTCAGCTCAGATCCTGGCGTGTATTTCAGAAGTACCCGAGGCTTCGCTCGTGCTGGCAAGAGGAGCCAAGCTGATGCACAAGGGAGAAGCAGAAACTCCCGTGGCAGCGTGGGGTGAACGCAAGCACCGATATCTGTTTGCAGCGGGCACAGTAGCGAAAGGCAGATCTAATTCCCTCAGTGCCAAATGTGCAGAGTTACTGTTGTCCCCGAGCCAGATAGCTGGGAGAGGAGGAGCACTCATCTATATGCACAGAGCGTATCTCTTGCTCCTCTCCTGGCCTTCCTCAGGGTTTGCCTGTGGGTGTTCCTCCATCACGCAGTGCCCTACTGATGCTCTTTGAGACAGCGAAACGAGAACTTCAGTTACTACTTTTTGAGGCAGTGTCTCCAGATGCACAAACACTGCAAGACCGACTAACCCCTAAAAAGAGTCTTGCATGAGCAAAAAGTATTGGTTCCCAACTTAGAAATGGTGCAGTGCTTATATTTCCAAGCATGGCCCCAGTATAAAATCCTCCAGAGACTGAAATCAATCAGTGCTTCTGAATTTAGAACTAATCCATGACTTTGCGCTTAGCAAGACTGCAATTTTACAGCTTTTTGGCTTTTCCAGATGTAGCAGGCCCTGAACTCTGCTGAGCCTGCCTTCTGCAGACCCAGCTCTCAGCTCATTTCACTTGCTCTTTCGGGTTGTCTTAAAAAAAATCCACCCTTGCTCGAAAGATTTTATCCAATTCCCATCCGGAAGATGTCTTGTGGAAGATGCTGTCCAATTTGCAGCCAGTGGCTTGGGGGATTTTGCTTAATGTTTGGCAGGAAGCTGATCAGCAGCAACACAAATACCCCATGGAAGCTGTTGCCTCCTTTGGTGTTAGGCGGGCGCTAGGCCCAGCTTTGCCTGGTGTGCGTGTTCGTGAGCGGGCAGGGGGGCTGCTCTCGCTGTGACAACTGGGGTAGTGGGAGCGTCGCAGGGAGTGGGTGGACGGAGCTGTGGGCTCCATCAGCACCTGCTGCGGGAGCCGACAACTCCAGGCTCTGCCTTCCAACTTCATAATCTCCCTCTTTGCATTTTACAGGTACCTCTCAAACAGAATGTGCTTGGGGCCAGAGGAGGAAAAAAAAAAAAAACTTTTATTTTGTTACAGTGCTTCTAAACCAATGGGTTTGTCAAGATGGTCAAAGCATTTACCTGGGAAGGGCTGCATATTCTTAATAGTAAAGGGCATATGGAAGTCTATACTAGAAAAAAAATGAGACCAAAAATGTTGGGACACTGAGAGGGATTTTGAACAGAGCAGTGATAAACCACTGGGACAGTTACCTAAGGCAGAGACACCATTGCCTGAAGTCTTCAATCCAAAATTAGCTGTCTTGCTGAAAGAGAAGTTAGAGCACAAACAGAAGCAGTAAGACATTACTGAATGAAATTCTCTCACTTGTATTGTGCAGGGTGTGCTCTAGCTGCAACATTTGGATTAAGAAAAAAAATCAAAACAAGCAGGCAAAAATATGCAAAGTTCACTCTGCACTTCCTCCCAAATAGCTGTAACTCAAACTTCTCCTGTGGCTCCTTCCTTTCTAGGTCCATAACCAGAGCCTACTACAGGAACTCGGTTGGCGGCCTCCTCCTCTTTGACATTACAAACCGCAGGTCCTTCCAGAACGTCCACGAGTGGCTGGAGGAGACAAAAGTGCACGTGCAGCCCTACCAGATTGTCTTTGTTTTGGTAGGTCACAAGTGCGACCTCGACACCCAGCGGCAGGTCACGCGGCACGAGGCTGAGAAACTGGCTGCTGCATATGGTATGAAGTACATTGAGACCTCAGCGCGGGATGCCATTAATGTGGAGAAGGCCTTCACTGATCTGACTCGAGATATATATGAGCTTGTTAAAAGGGGGGACATTTCAATCCAGGAGGGATGGGAAGGGGTGAAGAGCGGGTTTGTCCCAAACGTAGTGCACTCTTCGGAAGAAGTGGTGAAATCAGATAGGCGATGCTTGTGCTGATCTCCTCTAGTGAGAAGAGTGGTGATGAACTCTACTAACCACCTGTATTCTATTAAGTGAACTCAGCGTGACAGAAGGGAGAGTAACCCTCCCATTGCGAACAGCCTCCCATGTTGCTTTGGACACCAGGAGAACAGACCCAGGGAAGAAATGTTCTGTTCCAAATAACCTTTCAGAACTGGGAGCGACAACCCAACTGAGCATGAGTGAGAGGGTGCATGTGTATGTTGTAAGGAGCCAGGAAGCAGCAAGGAGGGGGAGCAAGAGCGAGTGCGCGCAGCAGCTCCCCGTGAGGCGGCACACGCCAGGGACCTGCGTGATGTCCTCTTTTAAGTAAAGCTATAGCTCCATGCTGTCTAGTGAGGCCACAGAGAAGATTGTTTAATAGCATGACACACTGGCAGAGAGGGCAAGAAAGAAAGAAAGAGGACAGCCTGGTTTGTGGCAGCTGTTTTGTTTTTTTATTACCAAGAAGATTTAGCGGCAGCAGAAATATTTCTTCATAAGGCCAGTGCCACAGAGAGTTTACTGAAAGGTATAAAAGGGTATACATACTTCTGAATTTTCTTTTTTCATGTTCTTGAACCTAGTTCAATATACTAAAGGCTATTATGAGGGATTTAAAGGGGAAAATACTAGTTAGTTAATTGGTAATTGAAATTTAAATTACCCCCCCCCCATTGCGTTTTCCTTGCTGTGCTGAACTGGAATTCTAAGTGGCAGCTGTGCCTCCAGTAATTATTTGGTGAATATTTAAGTATTAACTGTCTAGATGAATAACTTGAATATAGCCGGAGTTCAGGGCTAGCCAGTAGAGTTAAGTGATCAGGAGCACGAAGTCCTCATACTCTGCATCTTAAGGCTAGGGTGTTGCAGCCAGGCAGGACACACCAGAAGTTCTGCCATCTGTGTGTCACTGACCCTCTCAGGTGTCTACCAGCCAAGGCCCCAAGGAGAAATGGAAAGGAGAGGAGGAAAAAAAAAAAAAAAAAAGTAAAGCTTAACTCAGGTGCACCAGCCATCCTCAAAGGTGAGATATGCTTTTAAAGATGTTAAATATCATGGAAAGCAGCAGCTTCCATCAGTGCATTCTGCTGTTAAAAGTGTCATTTTCTTTCTTGACATCGGTGGAAGAAGAGCTCTAGAACGGGGAAGGAGGAGCACAGAACAGAAGTGGCTGAGCGGGTGAGAAGGAAAGCCACGAGAGGCACAATAAGAGGAAAATTTGTTTTCCTCCATGGTGTTTTTTTGACAAGGAAGATTCTGTTCAAGGTTGGTCATCATGGGTGGGTAGCTGAGTTACAAAGGCTCTGCAGAGGGGCCACCATTCGAGCTCTGCTTATGCTTAGCTTTCACTCAAGCTTTTGAAGTGCATCAGGGTGACCCTGCCCTGGAACAAACCTGGGAAGTTTAACCTATGGAACAAACAAACCTAGGACAGTGCCATTCAGTCGCGCTTGCAAGCTGTCACCTCAGACTGCTTGGGGGAGGGCGCAGGTGAGCCCCAAGAAGGAGCTGGTGCTCGGGCTCAGGCCTTCGAGTGGGTAAGAGTGCAACACTTGCTGCTGTAAGCTGCACTGTCCAAGAACGTGTGGGTTTTCCTGGTCGCTATGGAGTGGTCCAGTTCTCTGTGTTCCCATGGTTTGCAGCACCTGCATGGATCTTTTTGGACAAGAGCTGGGGTTTCCATAGTGGAGCTGTTAAAGCAAACAAACAAAAAACCCAAGTTTTGTTTTCTAAGTTTAGGAACTAGTCTCAGTTTCTGGACTGTGAGGGCAAGCTGCGGAGTTGTACCTGCTGGGAGGGCATTGATAGCAAAGCAGAGCCAGGAAGGAGTGGCAACAGTCCAGCATGTTTTGGGAAGCTTGTCACCACCAAGCACCCGTATTTAAATCTGAAACTGGCTATAAACACATTGAAAACCCCTATACTAATGCCCATCAAATTCCAGGCAGAATTAGTGGTGGTTGGGTTGAGTGTCCTAAAGATACCAAAAAAAAAAAAAATTACAAAAAAAAAAAAAAATCTCTTTCTAGGTAAGCAGAGCTGGAGAAGATTGATGCAGAGAGAGCCACGAGAGCTTGGCTACCGTGGGCTCTCTGCCTGCACCTTCTGCTGCTGCCAGCGGAGAGCACACGGTCTCTTCGAATCAGGACCATTAGTCTTGTTTTGACTAATGCAAGGACAAACAGGTAGAAAAGGGTCAGTTCCTTTACTCCTTGAATGAAAGGTAGGCAAACAACCACTTCAACCTCTCAGGGTGCAGCTCTGCTCAGGAGGTGTCTCTTGGATTGCCCAGCTGAAGGCAGACACCTAAGAGCTGAGCTTGAGTGATACATTAAAGACAGTAAAACTTTTGGATCTGGCCACGTTTTAGCAATACCAACGTTTCATAAGCCTGGCCAGTGGGTGGGGGGAGGAGGGGAGGGCCCAGGTTCTATCCTGTGTGCTATAAAGACTACCAATACTTTGTTTCATGGGTTTGGGACATTCCCCGTTTCCTGCTCTGAGAGAATTTCTGGCACGCCTAAATGAGTAAGTGCATCCAGGCCAGGCCTTAAGAGTAACTCTTGAATTTATAATACAAGTTTTGTAATTCTAAACTGGAACAGTACAGAAGGAAATGTATGCAGTTTGAACTACTTAGATGTAATAAATCGTTATATTAAATGATAGAGAAATCATATACATCTTTTTCTAACTCCTTCCATTTTCTAGACAGCTTATTTAAAAATACAGGAAATGTAGATTCATCTGTACAAAATTTTGGATGTTTTTTTAAGATGAAGAACTTACAGGCTATGCTAAGAATTCTTTTCTAACAACTGGTTTTAATGCTTTGACTTCTAGCGCAAGAGGGATTTAGGGAAGTCAGAAGGTGACACCTTTCACAGGATAAAGGTCAGGAGCTCTTTTACTCTAGGACAAAAAAAAAAAAAACAAGAAAAAAGAAAAGATTTTAAAAAGCTAACTTTGTGGTCTTTACCACACATTTAAAAACACTCTGCATGTTAGATGACTGAAATTGCTCAGAACCTCCAGAGTACAACTCTACTATACGCCTTTCCTTGCTTTCTGTTATGCACTGTAATGAAATGTGAAAATAATGCTGTATTTAGCTGTATGTGATTGAAAATATGCTTGTATTTTGCATAATGGTTACTGTGTGATTGATAATGTGAAATTCAAAACTTGTAAAGAAACTTCGGTGTTTTCTTCCCCGCTCCCCGTTCTTTATCAGTAGCCCCCTAGTGCCTGTACTACAGCAACCTTAACTTGACATGGACTAGCTCAACAATAAACAGCAGATGCTCTTTGCAACAGTATCCGCTGTCCCTTTTTCCTGGCAGGGCTCGCTGCTCAGAGCCTCAGCCCAACCGCCCTTCTCACAGTGTCGCAGGAGCAGTGCAGCCTCTGCACACTGACCTCTTGTTCTTTCAGTCATGAAGATTGAACTGTGAAGACAGATCAGCACTGCACAGAGATCCACCATCTGCAGGCTTGTTCTTGTCCACTTTGTCTTTCTTGATATCCAGTAATACCAGGCTTGTGTAATTATAAAATTGCCATCTCTCCCCACCTGCCCCCCGTGCTTCAAACCCAGGTACCTTTTGAACCTACTGGCCAATTCCAGCTCTGCTGCTCATGCTCTAACACAAAGCATTAGGTCACTGGTAATCATGGGCAGCACTTTTGCCCGCACATAGGTGCTTAACTCATCATTTCATTGTGCACAACAAAGAGAGGCAATCTCTGCCTTAGGATGAGCCAGGGCAAGGGGGAGAGCAGGCTTTAGCCTGCTGGGAATCTCGTTCATCCAAACAGAAAAGGGCGAGAGACCAGCACACATCTGCAGCTGCCTTTCCCTTCTTTGCTGGTACTGTTAAAGTGAAGGAGGAAGCTGCAGTTTGGGCAGTCCCAGCTTCAGCCTAGTAGAGCTTGTGCAGATGCCTGTTACCTAACAATACATTAGCTGCTAGGTACATTCTTAATTGCTCTGCTGAAATCAGAGACACTGCAACAAACGGTATCATCCTGCAGAAGAGGTATGGAAGAGCCAAACCCAAGGAAAACCTAAGTGAATTCACAGGAGAGACACTTCCCTAAGGGACAAGTCCTCACAGCAGGCACTGAGGTGCCCTATCTTCTCCTGACCCCTTTGTACTAAGGCCGCAATCCAAGACATACAATTGACAATTCCTAATGAAACCGAGTAGATGAAAAGGGGAAAGACAATGCTATGCAATAACAAGCAAGTGATTTTTGTCTGAAAGCTTTGGGAAATGGTCTGTGGAACAGCAGGTTGGCTAAAAATCCTGAGGAAAGATGTGATATAAATCCAGAGCCTCTGCTACTTTCAGGAGCAGGGGCTGCTGCTTTTTGCTGGCGGTG